TGTTGATCGAATATAGCGTCTTGGACATGAGAAACAATGACTACAAACAGAAGCGAAGTCAGAAGAGAATTTTTTTAAAATAAAAACTCGAGAACTTACGTTCCGGAGCCAAGCGAACGGGGCGACGTCCCAAGATACCGCGGACTTCAGCACGACGAACAGGTTTCAAGCTGAATTCACAGCAGGTGAAATGCGCAGTAGTACAAGGCACACAGGGGTAACCCCAGCCTTGAAACTGACATTTCTCCTCCTTTCGGTTTTTGCCCATCGAGCATTGAACGCAAGGCTCGGGGATCTGAACAGAAGAGAACTTGAGTAAAATAAAAAGAAGATACAATAAAGTAACTCATGAATGGTTTGTTGAAAAGATGCTCCAAGTCAGTGGGGACGTTGAACGCCCCTATGAAACGCTCATGAGGAGGTACTGAATAAACAAAGACTTTCGTTAGCAACTAGAAATGAAAAAAAGAAAAGAAAAAAAAAAAAAAAAAAACTTACAGAGCCTTTGCTTATCACGAGTTAGCTCGGGGTTAATGACCTCTGGCGCTATAAGAAAAAGTTCGAAGTTAAAAAGTGAAGCGTGAATTATAAGAAAACATGAAGACGTACCGCTTTTACGGGGCCGTCCACGTTTACGAGGAGGAGGACTAGCAACGAACGACTTGTCCGATTGCTCATCCTCTCCTTCCTCACTGGGACTCCGTTTGCGTTTGCTGGCCTTAGATTTCGTGCTTGGAGCAAGCACGAGAGTGTTCTTCATTTTGGCAATAGCTTTTGCAGGGCGATCACGACGCGTGTGCATCTCCACCTTAGGAATGTTGAGGCGGGGGACTGCGAGGATCGAAGAGGCGTTGGCAGGCGGTGCTGGAAAAGATGCGATAGGCGGCAAGATACCAAGCGGCGGCGTAGGAGATAAAGAAATAGGAATTGGCGTGTCAGCAGAACCAGTTGCTGGAGTAGCAGAAGTACGAGAGTGGCCGGCAGCGGGAGGACTGTCCGGCAGCGAAGGCGTAAACTTCATGAGGCCTGGCGACGCGAGAACGCCTCTACGACGTTTCTAAAAAGAAGTAAAGAATAAATCAGAAAAAGAACGAAATAATTAGAATACGAAAACTTACAAAGATGGGAGAGTCCTCTCGGTCAGACTCCTCGTCAACGGGTGATGGATGACGACTAGTGACAGGAGTAGACGGCGCCAGGAAAGGATTTGCCCTGACAGGCGCGTCACAAATCGCAGGAAGAACTTGAAGGAGTTCGTCATTACTCAACGGAGTCATGACGAAGTCCCCAGTAAGACAATCCACCTAGAAATAAAAAATCAGATAGAGTAAAAAGATGAAGAAACAAGGACATGCACTGGGAGATAATAATCCTCGTCACCTTCAGGCGCCTCGAGCATCCACTCATCCCAAGCGGAGTTGGCGTGGTCGGTACTCAAAACGGCCCATGCGTTGTAAAGAGATTTACGCACGCGAAGGTCGCATTGAGTTTCTTGCACGCCGTCGTCAAGAGAACGGCAGTATCTCGACTAAGAAAACAAATGTTGAGTTAACAGGAAAAGAAAAAGATAAGAGACGACTTACCATGAGCGGATGGACAATAGCCAATAGATTGGCGATGTCTTCACCATCGCAAATCGCAAGTGCCTCCTCGTCGAACAGAGAGCGAGTGGAATGGTATGCAGCGCGAGTGTAGACAGAGCCGTCGAAGAGCACTTGCCAACTAGCCATGGCAAAGTGAGCAGAAAGCAGAGGGGAATGTGAGAAGAAGAAAGGGAACTTTAAGAAAGAAAGACGACCAAAAAGGGGCCCTCCTTTATAGCACGAGAAAAACAAAAAGGTTCCTGTGTTCCAGAGGAGCTCCGTGTCCGATTTGTTGCGGTTCCTGCGAATCATTGAGAATCCCAAAGTTTAAAGAAAGTTTATTGGGCGCTTGTGTCTAAAAATAGATTTTCGGAGGCTTTTGACTGGACGTGCGTGAGATGCATACTATAACGAGGAAAACGTCGGTGTGGCGGATATTGACACCTTCAGGAAGTGTCAAAATATGTCAGTCGATCCTGGAAAATCTTGGCGATCCGTCGCTACAATATGAGAACGTGTGAACCACAAGACAAAGTCCAGAAAAAGACGTCCTCAGAAGGGAATCTTGCAATGACCGAGGACGGTCAGTATTATAGTGGGGGGGAGATGATACGGATGAAACCATTTCACCCGTATAAAATTCGATTTCAACGATTTTACCGATAAAGGTCGTCTCTAATAAATACACTACATACAATTGCAATGATACAAAGAGTCGATGCGCATACCCGGCGCAGTTGACTAAAAATGCAAATGCGTGGAATCTGAAAATAGGACAAAGGCTTTGGAACTGGCAGCAGTACGTGTCGTGACATTATACTTGGATCCCATCTAAGATTCACCTACCATGAAATAGAGCACGGAGAGGTTCTAGAGTAAACACCCAATGCAGGGAGAAGAATTGCATTACTACTCAAGGGTTTAGAAACACATAATGGATTTATTGTGAAAACTCGTGCTTATACAAGAAATACAGAAAAGACGACATAGACGCCTAAATGGCATGTCTGAAACATGGAAAGACTAAACTACACCTAGGTAGTAGACGTATGAAGACTTAGAGTGGCTCACGGCCATTCAGAAAGTCATGTACGGCAGTTCCCGCGTACGCATCAAAGACTGATGCGTCTGAACGTCACAAGTACAAACATGAGAAAAAGACACATTCTATTATATGAAATATAATAAGAACCCCCTGACAATTAAGAAAGACATTTGAAAACACCTTCGGAGTGTCTCCCGACCTCTGTAATGAAAAGACGAGCCAAGACAAGGCATTTTAATTAAAAACTCGGAAGCAACGGAAGGCCGAAGACTATTGGTAAACGCGTATGCATGCGCATCAACGCATCAGGAAACGTTAATCATTTTGTGATGTCATCTGTCAAACCGGTAAACCGGGCCATAGAAAGAAACACGCGAGATCATGCCAAGCTAAGAATAGCTATGTCGGCTAACTCCGTGTATGCATCAAACACTGATGCGTTTGAAAATGAAAGACGCGACACTACAAAATCTGTAGTGTTCACAGAGATAGACTACAAAATATACCACTCGTTCATTAAATTTCATATTTGTAATTCGGACCGAAGTATCCCGCTTTAAAACACATGTAAAACGTAGATAGGGGTTCCTGGAGTATATAAGGAGCGCGCTGGCAGGTCAAAAAGGAAGTAATCGCCCCCCCGTTGACCAGCTAGTTGCACTCCAAGTAGAGACTTAGGAGGTGGACAGTTGTAATCAATTAAAAGGAGATTTCTTCGTGGTCAGATAAGTACAGTGTGAACGAAGCCAGCGTACTTGGGAGTCAACTTGCTTGGAGACTTTTGAATAAGAGGTTTTAAGGACACAGTATCATTTTAGACGAGACAGCGTACTCGTACCCTTGGTTTTGGAGCGTAGTGACATAATAAAAACTCACGGGAGTCATAAAAGTCAATTAAAGTCGTGTTTTGTGTTAATAAAAGAAACTGTGATCAAAGAACTTTGCATTTAAGAGACCAAGTTCCCAGAAAGATATACTTTGTTCTATTGAACTATTCTAAACCACACCTTATAATAAAAACCCAATTTTGAACGAAAACTCTTGAGACTTAAACCTAAGAAGACAAAAGTGGTATTTCTTAATACCAAAGGCCCTCGAACTCTTGCACCGAGATTGTGATAGTGTGTGTGTGTGTGTGTGAGTGAGTGTTAGGTGTTTAGGGTTTTCCCCCGATGCGCTTGATCCTTGTTTGCGTGTTTCGCACTTTCACGTTCATCCCCGTGCAAAGCGTATCAGCAGTCATGTGGCGGGTTGTGCATCAATCGAGGATATCTCCCAGGAGTTTTCTCTCTACGGACTATGGATCGCTGCTCGCGTTTTCGCGGCGGATCTAAGGTCCCTGAGGGAAAAACTTCACCCAGCAATCGATGAGCACCAGGGATTTCGCGCTCACGCGGCCTTGATTCACTTGTCAATTATTCCTCGAGGTCTCAAGGGTTCAAACTTGCGCTTACGCGGATGAATCCATGGAGGCATGTCAGTACTAGCTAAAAGCGGATTCGAATACGCGTCTACGCGATCGAGGAAATGCACTAGTTAGACATAAGGACCATCCTAGCCGCCTGAAAGGATGAGTAATTTAGCATAAGCCTGCGCTTCCGCGGCTAGTTAGATTCTTATCAACTGAAGGGCGAGCAAGGCGCAGCTCTAACAAGACGAAACCATACTCGCGCCTACGCGGTTAGGATGAATCTCGGAAGAATTTCGCATATAAGGAGTGGCAGCCTAATCTACGGACTACTGGATATCGCGATTACGCGGCCGACCGTCTGTAGAGGCGACTGTACGAATTATATCGATGGTCCTGAACCCTCTATCTCCTGTTTCCTGTCATCCATTCATATCGATCGTCGGTTTTCATCGATAAGTGCAAACCTTACCGATTTCAGTCTACTGCTCCATCGGAAGCTATGCCCGACCGTGTTAAAAGATACACATTACGAGTTGGATATCTAAAACGTTCTTCCTACTACCCTTCCGACTCGATACTATGAATGTCTGGTTCTAATCGTAAAGCAACTCTCTCTGGGCCAGGGCAGACTGGCCAGCTCGCCCCTCGATCCTCTCGATCCGCTTCAAATCCCCCTGTGACCAATTCCCCCCCGAGGAAAAGAGGTTCTCGATCGGGTGGATCCTCGACGATCCCACAGGTTGAAGAGGAATTGGATAGAACTTTACAAACAGCGGAAGGCAGCCCTAGTCCCTCCAGAGAGGGAAATCAGCTACCAGACCCTACGGTTCCATCTTCTATCTCAGAATCAGCTCCAGTAGAAGCCATTAGAGGTATCATCGACCGGAGTCGAAAGGGCAAGGAGAGGGAAACCCACCTATTCGCACACGCGCCTCATCTGAAGATGGCCCCAGCATACGAGGAAACTTTGACTCAGTCGATTGTCTGTTGTCATCACACATGGGACCCAGCGGAAGACATAGACCCTTTATGGGAATTCGGAGCGGAGGAAGGAGTACTACAAGGGCTAACCCCTACACAAACTATGCCTTTCCGCGACATACTCATTTGTTGGACAGCACCGCATCAGAATCTAGAGTGGGAGAATCTGGAAGACTATACGCAGCTATTATGCGCGACGACTCTATCACGAAGAGACATAGAGTTGATACCCGAGAATGGGAAATCGTATTACACGCTACACTATAAGATTCTGATGCACACCTACGAAGTCACGCTGGGAATCACGCAGATTATCTCCACAATAGATCGACTACTGGCCAGGTCGGCACGTCGTTCCTTCAGCATTGACAAGGGGTTCGTCATCCTTAAACAACTAGCTATGGGGGAGGACGCGGACCATATTCAACTAAGTTTCTACACGTTACAAATCCGATGCAAGGGTGCGGTGAACCACATACGCCAAGACCTCAATTCCATACGGGCTATCTTTGGACAATTCAATAATGCGTTGACTAACCGTTCCTACAACTCGACTCTCTCGGATATACGGTCGAACTACGGCCAACTACCTCCGCGTTTAGAGGTAGCCAGGCATATGCTGAGGGAAGATTATCAGAAGGAGATGCCTGAGCATTTACGAAGCTACAAGGACAAGTTAGTAGAAGAATGGGTCAAATCAGGGAGAGAGATAAATGCTCGTCCTTACGAGAGGAAACCAGCTCATTACCCGCAGTTAAAATATGATGAGCGGTCTGATTCGCCGCGAGCGTGGAGTCGTATGCAAGGCTCCTTGCCCACCTTGGCGCCTAGTCAACCTTTGGTCTTCGGTAGCGTGTCCTCCAGGGATCGGAGACGTGCTCCTCCGCCTACTTCTATTTCCATGGCTGTAAGCCGTAATCACCCTCTTAGTCACTTCGCAGGCCTCAATTCTAACATGGGAGGTGAGGAAGGGAGAGAGGGCGAGGACTCAGACCCCCATAATCCATGGATCACTGTTCAGTCAGGTCGCTTTCGTAGCACTCGTTCGAGGCCTACCCATGTCAATAAGAATGCTCGTTTCGCCAGTCCTCATGAAGATCAGCCATCAACTCCGGCGATTCATACGACGGAGAGTTTCAGCTACACAAAACAAGGAAGGAGTGGGAGAAGCTTGAATGGAGGTGGTCCTCCCAACGGAGATAGTCCCCCAGGCGGAGGATCGCCGTCAGGACCCAGATATCCTGCTCGGCGAAACAATGAAGGTCTACCTCTTTCCCGAGGCCATGCACAAAACTCAGGGCAAGGACCTCCCGGAGGGGAACCTCCTGGTGGTGATCCCGGTTACGGTATCGACCCTGAGGAGAAAGGCCCGGAGGATGAAAAGAACAAGGGGGAATGGCAATTGAATAACAAGATCAGCATGGGAATGATTCCGCAGTGGGACGGGAACCCGACTACGATGATCGACTACATTATGGAAATCGCTTTACTAGCTCGACTTTCAAAAAGACTTTTCAAGGAAATAGGACAAATAGCACCAATTAGATGGACAGGTTCTGCGAAAGGATGGTGGATGACCCTGCCTAGGGCAGATCAAGCCTACTTTTCACAGGACTGGGAATGCCTTATGACGGGAATGTGCGATCATTTCATGAATGATGAATGGCTTAACGATAGGGGAATTGAATTTGATGCCATGCGATTCCGTGATGGGTGGTATACACTTTTATGATAAAAACCAGACATATGCCTGGAGGGCGATGTGTATAATGGCTAGAGGTTCAATGAGATCGCATATCTCATTGTTCTAGGATATTTCATTGCGATTTTCATATGGATACCTGGTGCTTTTAATATATATTTCATTCTCAACCCCAGGATATTTCATTGCAATTTTCATATGGATACCTGGCTCTTTCAATATATATTTCATTCTCAACCCCAGGATATTTCATTGCAATTTTCATATGGATACCTGGCGCTTTCATTGGATATTTCATTGTTAGCCCCAGGATATTTCATTGTGATTTTCATCTGAATGCCTGGTGCTTTCAATGGATATTTCATTCTTGTTCCTAGGATATTTCATTGCACTTTTCATAGATATACCTGGTGCTTTCATTGGATATTTCATTGCTAAACCCAGGATATCTCATTGTGCTTCTCATTTGGATGCCTGGTGCTTTCAATGGATATTTCATTCTTATTCCTAGGAGATTTCATTGCACTTTTCATATGTGTACCTGGCGCTTTCAATGAATATTTCATTTTTAGTGGCAGCTGACCTTTCAGGGTCCAGGGTGCATTTCCAAATGTAAAATAGCAATAAAATCAGGAAAAATTAGGGCTCATTGCTGATCATCATGTTGGGTAACATTGTCAGGGTCCAGGGTCCAGTTCCAAATATGGTAATATATCCAAAAATAGCCAGAAAAATTGAATATATATATAAATGGTGTACA